TCTGGCTTCCTGCCACCATCCACATAGCTTATTCCAGTCTGTGTCCTCCTGAAGGTGCTTGTAGGAAAACTAAACTGTTCTGATACAGACAAGATTTTCCCCACATTATCAATAAGGCAGCAATAGGCTCATTATCTGACTTCCTGCATAAAAAGCTCAGGGCTGTGTTTACTTACATTAAGAGAGATACTAATACCAAGTACCCCAAAATATAAACCAATCACCTATTGCCTAGGCGTGGCCTAATTCTTTGGTTGGGATGGTGGCTAGGGTATGCTTTATCTCTAACACACATCATCTGGCTTCCTTGTGTAGATTAGGAGAAGAGGGTGGAGGGTGCTTCAGTTAGACTTTCCTTTGGGCCACTAGCTAACAAATAATGATGCAGAGACTTACTACTTATGAAAGCTTGGCCTTAACTTGAACTTTTACTCAACTAGCTCTTGTAACTTAAATTAACACATTTTTCCCTCTGTGTGTATCATGATTTTTTATTTTCTTTTTAATTTTTTCCAATTTCATTTTTCATTTTACATTCCAACCACAGTTCTCCCTCCCACCCCTCCCACTCCCCCTCATCTCTTCCTACTCCCCCTTACCTCTTCCCACCCTACCTCACCTCTCCCCTAGCCTATCCCCAGCTCACTCCTCCTCATGGGTAAGGGCTCCCAGAAGAGTCAACATAGTTTGGTACAATAGGTTGGGGCATGACCAGGCCCCTCTCCCATGCATTAAGACTGAGCATGGCATCCTACCATTGGGAATGGGCTTCAACAAGCTAGCTCATGTACTGGGATTATATCATGGTCCTACTGTCACTGAGTATAGCATCCTACCCTAAGAAATGGGCTCCAACAAACTAGCTCATATACCAAGTTTGTATCATGGTCCTACTGCTGGGGACCCCTCAGATAGACCAAGCTTCACAACTGTCTTCCATATATGGAGGGCCTAGTTCAGTCCCCTGTAGTCTCCACAGTTGTAGGTCTACAGTTCATGAGTTTCCACCAGCTTGGTTTAGCTGTCTCTACAGATTTCTCCATTATGATCTTGACCTCCATGTGTTAAGATCGTATGTTCCCTTCTCCCTCTTTTCGCCTGGATTCCTGGAGTTTGGTCTGGTTCTTGGTTGTGAATCTCTGCATCTGGTTCCACCAGTTGCTGTAGGAGGGCTCCATAATGATAGTCTGGGTATTCACCAATCTGATTACAAGAGTAGGCCAGTTCAGGCATCTTCTTTACTATTGCTAGGAGTCTTAGTTGGGGTCCTCCTTATGGATTCTTGGGAGTTATCCTAGTACCAGTTAACCCATATTTCTTAATCTATATTCTGCCACATGGCTCAATTACTTCTCCTCTGTCCTCTGTATCATAATTTCCACTTCTTCAAAATCACTGGCAAATCTCTTGTGTGTCTAGATTCATCCTGAGTTCTTCTTGTTCCCTAGAAGTTCTGCCTATTCTTTCCTGCCTAAACTATTGGACATTCAGCTCTTTATTAAACCAATTACAATGACACATCTTTACACAGTATAAACAAATATAAACAAAGTATAAAAATATGGAGGGAGATATAGTACAATGAACATATGAAACCATAATAATAGAAATTAGAGTTAGGAAATGCAGCTACTTGTATAAAAATTTATTCCAAAAGGAACTTACCCTCATTACCTGAGAAAGACTGTAGAATTATTATGGTGGATTTAAAATAATAATATTCCACAAAGATTAACCATCAATGAGGCTGAGAGGAGGTACAGGTAACCCATTAACTACACAACGAGGATAATTATACTTTGCTCTCTAGCTCACTTTGTTTTCTGAATTGATTAGCTTTCTATAAATCATCAAGGACTCTTAATAGCATCCCCCTTACCTTTAAAAGAAGTTACAAACATTTGTATGTTCTGCAGGCACTAAACGTGCCTCTAATGACTCACCTGGATCTAGTCAAAGCATAGTAATTGTAAAGCAATAGTGTAAATTCACAGTGAGAACAACATAAAACACATGGTCAATATATGTCATTTGCCATGTACCAAGCATTTAGATACCTTATTCTAATTCTCTTAAAAGTCAAATATTCTATTTATTTTTGCCACTGGGCAGAGCACAGAAGTGAAATAACCTAGTGGGTCAAACAGCTTAGCAACCAGAAGTTTCTAAATCACATCTTTCTGGGTCCACAAGCTATGCAGTTTTTAAAGTGGTCGAATACTTGCCTAGCATGTAAAAGGCTCAGAGTCTGAGTCACAGAAATGGAAACATCAAACCAAATCAGAATTATGTAAGCATGGTGCCACAGAACCACATGCTTATAATTTTAGAGTCTAAAAGCCGAAGCCAGAGGATGTAGAAGAGTTTGAGGCCAGCCTAAGGTAAAAGTGAGACCCTGTCTCAAATTAAAATAAGAATCTCTTCTGTTTTGTACAACAATAACACTGCAACTGAAGCAGCCATACAAACTCATAGCAGCTAACAAATATTGAGAAAAACAGGTAAGGTTTTTGTACTGGTTTGAATAAAAATGACCCATATAGGCCAATAGAGAGTGCCAATATTAGGAGGTGTGGCCTTGTTGGAGTAGGTGTGGCCTTGTTGGAGGAAGTGTGTCACAATCTCTTTCTGTTACCTGCCAATCAAGTCGTAGAACTCTCAGTTCCTTCTCAAGCACTAGGTCTGACTTCATACCACCACATGACAATAATGAACTAAACCTCTGAGCTGTCAGCCAGCCCTAACCAAATGTTTTCCTTTATAAGAGATGCCATGGCAATGGTGTCTGTTCACAGCAATTAAAACCCAAACTCAGACAGCTGTAGTATGGTTGTAGTGATATTTTCAAGTTTCACTCTTCTCCAGGCAAAAGGCTCAATCTCTAGTCTGCCCCCTATGGGTTGAGTACTATTTTCTATAGTATTTCCTACTGATATAATACAATAGCTAGTGACTATAAAACAGTCCTAATTTAAGGAGTAAAGGGACCTTAATAATATAGTGTATACAGTAACATTTTAGTTACTACTTATATTTGTGGAATAGTGAAGAGAAGCAGAAGTAAGCTATATCAATGAGACTATTAGTATTTTGTTTTTAGATGGGAGAAAGAGGAGAAAGCCATATAAAAGAATAAGAATAAGGAGGCAAAAAGAGGGGTGAGATGTATAGGTTTTGATTAATGATAAATTAAAAAGAGTGAATGAACAAATGTATTAAAATATTGTAATAAGGTGAACTGGGCTTTGGCTATATGGCAGTAAAAGGGATGCATGCACATGGGAAAAAAAGAAAAGAAACATTAAAAAAGAAAAGATGTAAGGGAGAGTGTACGCACAGCCTTAACAGGCATGAACAGTAGGGTATAATGTCAGCCTCTGACACTGATTTGCTTTATTAAATAAATAAGGAACAGCTAGGAGGTGGTGGCACACACTTTAATCACAGCACTTGGGAGGCAGAGGCAGGTGGATCTCAGTGACTTTCAGGACAGCCTGATCTACAAAGTGAGTTCCTGGAGAGCCAGGACTGTTACACAGAGAAACCCTGTCTTGAAAAACCATTAAAAAAGAAACAACTGGTTTGGGGGAGAAGAACTGGGTGGAGACATGAGAAAATACAAACACTGGCAGACGCTGCAGAGCTGTGGGTGGGGGAAAAGAGAGCAGGCTGGAGGGAGACAGGAGAAAATGAAATCACTGCCGTGAACCTGCATCTCCTTGGTAGATCTATGGCTTTGTCTCTCTGAGCCTACCCCAGGTTATAACTATGCTGATTTTTTTCACTCATCACATTCTTCACTCAGGGACTACATCTCCCTCCTGTGCGACATTTTCTCAACTCTCTTCTGAGAGATGTGTTTAGGGCATCTATGTTTAGAATTGCAATCTGCAATGCAGATTGTTCTCTTCATCCGTATGAAGAGGACAATCTTCATGTCTTTTTACTAATTTTAATATGAAATCTATTTCTTTCAGGTACCAAAACAACTGCTTTTTTTCCTTTCTAGTTCTATTTCCTTGCTACACCTTCTTCATCTTTCTATCTGAAATTTGGGACTAGTTTTGATAGTGATATACATCTTGTGGAAACAAGCAGATGAATCCTATTCTATAATAAAATATAATTACGTCACTACCCGTCTTCCCGTTACTCCCTCCATCCCCTCCCATGCTTCTTGGTTCTTCAATCTCTGTCAAACTGACAGCTTTCTTTCTTTGATTACACACACACACACACACACACACACACACACACACACACACTCAATCCCTGCACTATTCCACACACACACACACACACACTCACACACACACACACACACACACACACACACACACACACACTCAATCCCTGCACTATTCCAATGCCTTCTGTAGCTATTTGACCTCTCCTCCAATTTATCCAGTTTTTGGCAGTCAAGCTCCTGTTCACGCAATGCTGCTGTGTGTGAAGGGAAGCAGTTTGTGGATTCCAATGTCCCTATAAAGCCATGTGTTGTTGATGAGCAACACTCAAGCTTTTCTTTCCTGCTTCCATATAGAGATTCATTACCTCACCCAATAATGTGAAAGGAACAATTTTTTAAAAAATATACATTTCATTGTCATTGACTGTGTTGGATAAGCAATACTTTATATCAGACTTCAAACTTTCCCAACACTTCATAAGGAAACCCTCTCTCTGCCAAATCCATCCCCCACCTCTGCCAATAGGTTCTTACGGCATGCGCATGTGTGTTCTTCATACTTAGATTACATGCAAATACTCTGAGGATGTTTGCAAAGCCTACATTAAAAGAGCACGGGAGCATTTCTATGTCTCTTCATGTGAAACCAGCTTTCTCAAGGGCCTTTCTCTCTTCCTGTGCCTTCTAGCCACACATCCACCAGCTGTTTTATTTCTCATGCCAATAATTTATGAGGACAAACGATCCCACAGTGCCTGACATTCTGGACCTCTCCTGAGCTCATAGTCTGGAGATCAAGACTGGGTCTTACCCTTTGCTTCTCTGGGTCCACATAGCGAATTCCAAAGTAGTCCTTCTCCAGCAAGCTGTAGTAGTTGCAGATGTGTTCAATAAGAAATTGCCCTTTTGTCTCCCGCTGTAAAAGAAGAGCATTTATGTTACAGTCAGAGCTCACATGCACATTTCATTCCCAGAAGGGTCTATGTTTACAACAATGGATTTGGTCACTGTGGACACAGGCATAAGGGTTTCCAATATTTTTACTAGGTGAGCAGATTAGTAATTTTCTGGTGGTTGTGACCAAGTAAGTGACAAGAAGCAACTTAAAGTAGGAAAGCCTTATTTTTAAACATGGTCAGATGGGATACAGTCCATTCTAGCAGGAAAGGCATGATAATAAACATAAGACTGCTTGTGCATATCCAGGTAGATAGGGAAACAGAAGCATGTTAAAACAAAGTTCCAAAAAACAAAACGGACTCAAACTCAAACCACAGAAGCCCACTTCCTCCAATGAAGTCCCAAATTCTAAAGGTTTCACAAACTCTGCAAATAGCATTGGGAAGAAAACATTAAAACACATTAGCCTACAGGAGGCATTTGACATTCAAACCACAAGAGTGAGACATCTCTCTCTCTCTGTCTCTGTCTCTGTCTCTGTCTCTCTCTCTCTCACACACACACAATGTACACTTCAAATCACAAAACATCCGAAAATGGAATCAGTTGGATTACACAACAATATCTTGCCTTGGTACAATGTGATCTTGTGTGTTCCTTTTTATTCTATTACAGGTGATTAAATTTTGCTAACAATATTTCTAGTCGAGAAAACATTTCACATTCAATACCATGTGGGGACCCACAATATACAAATTCACAGTGGCTCTGATACCTTGCTCTAAATGGTTTCTATTATTCTCTCATTCAGTTTCATGAGAAAATTGAGCCAAGAAATAATTCAGGGACTTACCTAATATAACACAACTTGCATGGCCCAAGCTATGATCTCAGTCACAGAACCTGGATGTGGAATGTGGCTTTCTGCCCAACCCCATTGTCATTCTGAAATATTTTGAGATGTGCAGTGAAAGGCATTGGAATAACCTGATTCCCACCAGCAATGTGTGAAATTCAGTTTCTTCAGTTCCAGAACCATGAGAAATCAAAAGGGAAGAACATGCTTCAATAATGTTGCTGACAGGGGACTGGAGAGATGTCCGCTGCTCTGACAAAGGAACTAGAGTTGGCTCCTTGCACCTATACAGTAGCTTACTACTCTCTGTAGCTCCAGTTCCAGGCAATCCATTGCCCTCCTCTGCTCTCTTTTGGCAGCAGGCACACAGACAAACAGATAGGCACACAGATAGACAGACAAAACACACATCATATATATAAAATAAAACAAAAAAAATCTTTGTTGTTTTAGTTGCTGACAGATCTATGGACTATTTTAGGGATGCATTGTGATCTATAAATAGAAATTCTTAAATTTGAGAGATTAATGGGACATTAAAAACAGTTTTAGACTTGATGTGGTGATGCCTGCTGTCTTAGTTACTGTTCTCTTGTTGTGTAGGGACACAATGACCAAGGCAACTATAAAAGAAAGCAGTTGTGTCTATGATCACCATAGTAGTCATGGGACCCGGATAATAATTGCTGACGCGTGCTGGGGTCTTTCATGAGGTAATACCAGGAAACTTAGTCCGTGGGAACTACCCCTGCCCCCAAGATGAGCCAATAAAATGCCTGTTGCTATGCTGATACTTATGTAACCATTAAAACTCTATAAATATTGTGCTCCCTGCAAGCCCGGTATGCTCTGCACCCGAGTTGCAGTAGCATCCGCAGGCGCCTGTGTATTCAATAAATCATGTCTTGCATTTGCAAAAAAAAAAAAAAAAAGCATAATAGAAAGTGAAAAACCTCGGCATCAAAGCGCCGGGCACTGAACCGAACCGTCTGCCCAAGAACCGGGGCCAGACCACTGGCTGCAAATGCAAGAGGTGATTTATTGAGTACACAGGCGCCTGCGGATACTACTGCAACTCGGGTGCAGAGCATACCGGGCTTTCAGGGAGTACAATATTTATAGAGTTTCAATGGTTACATAAGTAACAGGCATTTCATTGGCTCATTTTGGGGGCAGGGGTAGTTCCCACGGACTAAGTTTCCTGGTATTACTTTATGAAAGACCCAGGCATACTTCAGCAATTATTATCCGGGTCCCATGACTACTATGGTGATCATAGACACAACTGGGGGCAGGGGTAGTTGCCAAGGACTAGGTGTCCTGGTATTGTCATATGAAAGTTCCCAGCACGCTTCAGCAATTATTATCCGGGTCCCATGATTGCTATAGTGATCAGACACAATTGGGGGCCAGGGTAGTTGCCAAGGACTAGGTTTTCTGGTATTGTCATATGAAAGTTCCCAGCACACTTCAGCAATTATTATCCGGGTCCCATGACTGCTATAGTGATCACAGACATCCTGTTTTGAGGGTGAGACACCTGGTCTGGGTTTCTTTCATTAGGCACCGGCCTGGCCTTGCTTTTCTTTTCCTAGGGGGTCCTGGGTAGGGGTCTTTCACTAGCTTGCTTACAGAGGGTGAGTACATGACCATCAGGGCAGGGAGCAGGGAGCAAACAACCAGGAAGCAATAGCTGAGAGATTACATGTGATCCACAAGTTATAGGCAGAGCTTATAGGCATGGGCTTTTGAAACTATCAAGAGTCTTTGGGACCCCAAAGACTCCCTTCAGGGTTCAGACAGGATGCCACAGCAAGCAAAAGGAACTTGTTTCTTAGGGTATCTGAGGGTAAACAAAACCTTTCACACACCATGATGTTCTGAAAAAGTCTCCTTATTCTTTTGTTTCTGTTTTAATTCCCCTGTCCTAATTTTATTTCCTCCCAGATTTTTCTTCTAGCTGCTTTTCTTCTAGCCTAGAAAAAACTTTTTTTACAGGAGGCTTGAAAGAAATTATAAGAGTTACATCTCAGTTGGGCGTTGGTGGTGCATGCCCTTAATCCCAGCACTCAGGAGGCAAAGGCAGGCAGATCTCTGTGAGTTCGAAGCCAGCCTGGCCTACAGAGCGAATTCCAGGACAGGCTCCAAAGCAATACAGAGAAACCCTGTATTTAAAAAAAAAAAGAGTTACATCTCATTGGCCAAAAGCACATTCCTTTGGGTGAGCAATAAGGGCAGAACCCTTTACCATGGCAATGTAGAGTTTCGAGGTTTCAGGAGTAAGATTGTGACCAGAGGGCAGAAGTCATATATGTGCCCAGTGAGATAAGCTTTGAGGCATAGATCTTTTATCAGGTAGACTTGGCAAGTGAATAATTGGCATGCTTTTCTTAGGGTGCTTTGTGTAGTAATCTTGGATAGACACCTGACTCCAACCCAACCAGAAAACTCAAAACAAAGCCTTACAAGTAGAAAGAATCAAGCAAAAGATAAAATATCATAACTCAAAGATAAAATAGAAGATGTAGACTAATAAGCAAAGAATATATTAAAAAACATGAAATGAATATAAAAAGCAGAACATCATAGAAAGACCAAAGTTTTAAATTACAGGAATTGATGAGGGACAAGAATCCCAAGTCAATGAATGGGGCCAGCTTTTCCTCAAGAGCATAGAAGAAAACTTTCCCAAAATAAGGATATATATACTCATACAGACAGAAGGTAGAAACAGAATACTAAATGGGTAAGACTAGAAACGAAAAGCCCCATGACATATTATAGCTTAGAAACTGATACAAATAAAAGAAGGTTATATTGAAAGCTGCAAGATAAGCAACCTAAGTAATAAGCAGAAGGAAAGAAACCATCAGAATAACACCTGATTTCTCAGTGAACACTATGAAACTCACAAGAGCCTGGAGCACTGAATTCTAAGTCCTAAAACACCATGATGGCCAACCTAGACTAGCCAGCAAAACCATTCCATGAAGATGAAGAAGAAAGGAAAACTTTCTGTGAGATGTCCAGGCATGGGCCCAGCAGCAGCATGGCCCCTGGGCACTAACATGGTCCTGGGTGGCTACCTAGACCCCAGGTATCACCAGAGCCCTCAGTGGCCACTGGAGTCATGGACACCACACTTCTTTATTCTCTTTGTTTTGCTTGGTTTTTGTTTTTCATTTTGAATTTGGTTTTGTTTTGGAGGGGGGAGGTTGCAAGGCCAGAGGGCAGATACAAAGGGACAGGGAGATAAGTGGGATTGGACTGCATGGGCCACAAAGAATTAATACAAGTAAAAGAAAACAATATATATGGTTTTAGTAGTGGTGCTGTTGTATCCAAAGCAAATAATACTTTTCACAAGTAAGGGAAATTTACGGTGAATTTCCTGTTTAATTAAAAAATATTAAATAAAATATATATTTAAAATTTAAAAATATTCTAAATGAATTTATATTCAACAAAAAAGATTAAGAAAATGCAGCAAGAAATATTTTAGGCTGAAGAGAGGGGAGAGAAACTGTGTAAAGAAATACAAAACCATAATTACCAAAACACAAAGTATCAGTGAGACTACATGAAACAACAAGATAACCACAATTAATACACATATTTTAGCAATGCTAAATATCAATAGCCTCAGTTCTCCAATGAAAGGACACAGTTTGGCTCAACTGATCAACACATTTCCTCTGTATTGCCTATAGAAAAACAGCTTTAAAAATAAAGACCATCATGGAAGTAAAGGATGGACAAAAGTACTCTAATCAGATGGGACCAGAGATCAATGAGGAATCAGTGTGTTAATATTTGACAAAGTAGAGTTCAAACTAAGAGTAATCAGAATCAATGAAGAAAGTCATGTTATTCTAACCCAGGAAATACCTATGAAGATGACTTTAGTATCCCAAATACCTATTCACCAAACTCTATTACACCCAATTTCATTATATACGTGCTACTGAATTTAAAGACACAGATTAACAACAACCATTAACAGTAAGTGATTTCAGTACCCAAGTTTCTTCAAATGACAGGTCATGTTGACAAATTAAACACAGAAACCTTAGAATTAAATGATATCTTACATCAAATAGACTTAAGAGAAAGCTACTGAATCTTCCACCCAAACACATGGAAGCTGCTCTAAAATAGAC